GATACCCTGACTCACTAAAAATAAATCTCGCTGGGTCCCCACCCACCCATTTCCAAGAGCTTTTTCCCACAGGCTAGAGGAATTCAAGCCTATTGCCTAACAGAAGGCACGGAATCTGGTCAAAAGGACTTTTGACTTGAACCAGAGAAGTCCCAGCAAGGAGCTAAGACAACGTCTGCACATCAACCACCCTGAGCACACCACTTGCTCACTGGAGCCTCTGAATCCAAGGTCAGGCTCCCCACAGACACAGGCTTGGCCTCTGCCTGGTGCCCAGGGCCAAAGGGATACCTCTGCAGGCCTTCTTCAGCCTGGGGGGCCCATCCTAGCTCTGGTCAGGCAACACCTGAAGCTGGACTCCACAGCCAACCTAAACCTAGAGAAACTTGCAAAGGAGCCCCAAAGAGCAAGTGATTGCTGGCCCCCCCTAAACTCCAGGAGGAAGCAAAGGCTGGAATTTCCCTGGAGCTGGAGTACCCCATGCCCAGCACAGACCTCCATCTCTTGGCTTGTGAGCCACCTCCTGCTTAAACCAACTCCTCTTCGCCCTGTTGAGGAGGGAGGGTTTCCCACCCCAGAGTTATGGGGAAGGGCTGACAACAACTGACACTGAACTGATGAGACTGAGGGCAGTTTATTAGTCACGTAGACTCACAGCCCAGGGGGAGAAGGATACTGCATCACGCAGGGCCACGTGGGGGCTGCACTCAGAAGCAGCATGAACACCAGCGGCTGTGGGAGGCGGGCTTTGTAGTAACAAGAAGGTGAGGTGCCCCCTGGGTCCAGCAGGAGGGTGTGATTGACCTATTGAATAGAAATAGCTTAAACAATAGAAATTCATTTTCTCACAGTTCTGGAGGCTAGAAGTCCCAGATCAAGGTGCCCCCAGGGTTGGTGTCTGGTGAGACCTCTCTTCCTGGCTTGCAGATGGCTGCCTTCTCATTGTGTCCTCACACAGTCTTTCCTCTGTGCACGCATACCTCTGGTATCTCCTTCTCTTCTTATAAGGACACCAGTCCTATGGGTGTAGGGCTCCACCCTAATGACCTCATTTAACCATAGTTACCTCCTTAAATGCCCTATCTTCAGATATATATATCCATATATATACATACATCTCCTATATTCAAACATTGAGGGTTAGGGCTTCAACATATGGATTTGGGGGTGACACAATTCAGTCCATAACTGGAGCACATAATACTGAGCCTTAATTTTAAGACTTATACCACACCTCCAGACCCAATAAAGAGTCCCAATAAAGACCCAATAGAGAAAATAAAACATCTTCTATCACTGCCCAATTGCTCAGAGAGAGAGAGAGTTTTAAAACCAGGAGCCACCACTCCTGAACTCTTCTTGATTCTGAATCCCCTGTGGGCATTCATGTCCTTAAGAATCCCCCTAACCCAAAACAGGATCCCAGAGGCCATAGGATACCCCGGGATATGGGACCTACTCCCCACATTAACCACGAACGAGGAGTGGAGCCCTGAGGACGCATCCCCCTACCCTAGTCTGGCAACCCCATTGGTTCCTCAGGGATCCCAGACCCAGTGGGGGATCCTGGGACCCAGCCTGGGAAGACCAACCCTAATGGGAAGGGCCTGAGGAAGAACTTGACCACATGGTCACTCCTGTAAACAGGCCTGGCTGGTCTCCCAGCCCAGCATCCGAGCTGCCGGTGGAGGCCCAGACCTTTCAGCTTTGGGAGCCCTCTAGGGCCTGATTCAAAGTATTCTCTGCCCCTGGATTTCACCGGACAGCTCTGAAATGGTTGTAGAGAAGGGTACAATAGTTTAGCTTAAACCTCAAGTTGAGAAATGAAGCCTGAGGTCCAGGCAGGGCCATTTTGCAGGAACTTGTAAGGCCCCTGTCTTCTCCTGGGCCCCATCTGTCCCCACCTGGGCTGGACCATTGCACCGGGCCTCCTAGGCTAGTACCAACTGTGGGCTCAGTTTCCCCTCCTCCTATCCCACCCCATGGGCAGGCTTCATCCCAGAACTGGGCTCCTCCTTGTCCTGATGATTCTCCCATAAAGGGTGGCCCAGTCCCTGCACCTCCCAGACTACATCTTAGAGCCAATTCTTGGATGTCATCTGTGCGCCCTGCACAGTGCCAGGCACTCCCAAATACCTCACCTTATTTAACCCTCATAACAACTCTGAAGGCACGTGGTTTTATCATCCTTTCTGTGGTCAGCAAACTAATGGCTCCCAAAAAGATCAGATCCTTATCCCTGGAAACTGTGAATGTGACCCTAGGTGGAAAAAGGGTCTTTGCAGATGTGATTAAGGTAAAGATCTTGAGGTGGGAAGATTATCCCGTATTATCAGAGCAGGCCCTACATGAAGTCATAGGTGTCTTTATAAGAGGGAGGCAGAGGGATAGTCGACCCACACTGGGAGAAGGCAATATGAAGACAGAGCAGAGAGAACAGAAGATGTTGGCCTTGAAGATTGGAGTGACGCAGCCACAGGCCCAGGAATGCCAGCAGCCCCCAGAAGCTGGAAGAGACAAGGAACAGATTCTCTCCCGGAGCCTCCAGAGGGAGCACAACCTGCTGACACCTTGATTTCAGCCCAGCAACACTGATTTTAGACTCTCGTCTGCAGAACCGTGAGAGAACAAATTTCCTTTGTCCTAAGCCACCCAGTTGTGGTCGTTTGTTACAGCAGCCACGGGAAACTCATCCACCCATTTAACAGATACTTCCGTGTGCCTGATCTCTTTTAACCCCCATCTCCATTTACAGTTATTTATCCCCATTATTATCCAATCACTATCCTCAATTACAGAGGAGGAGCCTAGGGTCCAAATGGTCCCCAGACACTGCCTCCTGGAGCTGACTTGGTTCTTCTGTCCAGCCACTCACCAGCAGGGCCTCTGCCTCCTAGCACACTGCCCTAATGTCAGCCGCTGCCTGGTACGGTAGGTCCCCCTTATCCGTGGGGGATACATTCCAAGACCCCCAGTGGATGCCTGAAACCGAGGATAGTCCAGAAACCTATACATACTGTTTTTTCTTATACGTACATATTTGAGGTGCAATAGCAAAGTTAGCACGAATTTCTTTTTCCTTCTTCACAATTTCATGAAAAGAAGATTTGTTCTTACTGTAGATCTTAGCAACCTCAGCATCAGCTTTTTTTCTTTCCTTATTAAGTTGAGAACTTTCATCTTTTCACTTAAATGAAGCACTTTACAGCTTCTCTTTGGCAATCTCAAATGGCCAGTATCACTGCTCTTGCGCTTTGGGGTCATTATTAAGTAAAATAAGGGTGACTTGAACACTAGCATTGCAATACCGTGACACTAGACATGGTGACCGAGACGACTACTAAGTGACTAACAGGCAGGTGGTGTATACAGCGTGGATCCACTGGACAAAGGGATGATTCACGGCCCAGGTGAGACAGCGCGGGCAATGTGAGATCTCAGCACTCTGCTCAGAACCACGCGCAATTTAAAACTTATGAATTGTTTATGTCTGGAATTTTCCATTTAACATTTTTGGATTATGGTTGATGGTGGGTAACTAAAATCGTGGAAAGCAATCTGTGGAACGGGGGGCCCAGTGTATTCTGGAGGAGGGTCCACCTGTCTTACTGGTCTTTCTCCGATCAGCTGGAGCTACCCCACTCTGTGCCCCTCCCGCCCAGCCTCAGGAAGGAGATGTAGACACAGAACTCTCTTCCCACCCTAGCTTGGCCCTTGGCTGTGCGCTTCCCTACTACCCCCATTATGCCACATGCCGGTCACACACAGAGCCAGAGAGATGGGGCCAGCAGTGGGGCCTGCATGAAATGACTGTTGAGCCTTCCGTGGGACAGCTCTGTGGTACAGAGCAGCGCCTACTGGTCCCATTTCCCAGGGGTCTGGCTCCTGCACCCACAGGTGCCGCCCACCCCCCAACCCTTAGGGCAGAGTCGCAGAGGGCCCTCAGAAGGCCCTGGCTCTCTGCTCGCCCAGCCGGGGAAGGGGGAGACTCGCAGCCGCTTCTAGTGCGATGTGTGTGTGCCAGCAAGAGGGCCGTTTCTCAGCTGCAGCCCCTGAGCATGCAGCCCCAGTGGGTTGTCATCACCCTGCCCACTACAGAAAGTTCCTGGCAAGGGGACGGACCTCAGAGACACTGTGCAGGAAGCAGGCCAAGGGTGACAAGGGCACCTGGGCCAGGCCGTCTGCTGCTCTGGCCGGGGGGAGGAGAGGAAAGATTTTCAGAGGAAAGAGCATGTTGGTAAGAGGTTGATTAATAACCATAGAATATTCCAGGCTAGGGGTGTCCTTAAGGTTATTTAGCGCAATCTTCATATTTTGTAGATGAGGAAACTGAGACCAACAGAGGGAAAAATTCATTGAATTTTAGGGGAGGGAGCTGTATTGGAGAGACGAGTTCTTAGGTCACCAAACCCAATGTTCTGACCCCACAATTCAGCCTCTTGCATGCACGTTTTTCTCCAAGGATAGCTTTAGCTGTTTCATCCAGAGGGCTGTGTGTTTGGTCTATCCATCGAGACAGGACGCTAGAGAAGAATCAATACCCACCCTCCCAAATCTCCCATCCATTCCATTTCAGAAGCCCAGTCTTTCTGGAGAAGTCCTGGTATCCTCCCAAGTCTCGCGTTGTCCCCAGGCCAGAAGATTCTTAGGAGATGTGTTCGAGTTCAAGGCCATCCTAAAGACTTTGTACCCTTTAGGTGGGTCTCCAAACTTCCCTCAGACCTACCCCAAGACTTGCTTGCAATTTCAAGGAGAACATAAGGACCGCTCAGGGTCAGACTCTCGCCTCTCCAACCCATGAGTTCAGGTCCCCAAGGAGTCCCTGCTCTTTCTCAACTCGGCAGATAACCTGGCAGGCTCTGCCTGCCACAGCACTCTCTTCTCTCTTTCCCCAGCTTTTTGCGTGCCTGGCTGTTATTCATTTTTAGTGTTATCTGAGATGTCATTTCCTTTGAAACCCTTTATAGTCCCCCAGGAGTAGTTGGGTGCATTCGCTCCAAGCCCCCATAACTGTGCATATCTCTGGCGGGGCTTCTAGCACCCTGATTGTAACTGCCTGTGAATTTGTTCATGTTCACTACCAGACTGCCCTCCTTTAGGATCACTATCTTTTCTCCATGTCTTAGGAACATATATTCATCCCTCAGGAGGGCTATGGAGGACAAGGACATGAGGCCTTCCTGAGTGGACCCCAGAATTGGTGAGGGCGTTTGGGTCCATGGACTCCTGGCCCTGCTGCCTCCTGAGGACATTTTGGGTGCCTGGATTCCAACGGCCTGAACACAGAGGATGATCAGTCCTGGAATGGGGGCATGCAGCTCTTGGAGTAAACATCGCTATTCCCAAATGTACTGATGTTATCAGCTGAAACAGATCAGTACTATAATTATGCAGCAGATGCCTTGCGTTAAATAAGATTCACGTGAGACCTGCGGACGTGTTCATCTCCAGCTCGTAAATCCATTGCGGTGCAGCATCTTTCTCTGCCACTAGGTGGCAGATGTTCGTGGTTCACTAAGACTGCTGAGGAGGTGGCGGTTCACCAGGGAGGGAGGATTCTGGCTCAGACTGGTAAGTCAGGCCCATGCTGCCGGAGTCAGGAGTCTAGAAGCTTCCTCGGCTGGGGAAGCCTCTGCGGCTACCCCAGAGCTGCCCCTTCTCTGCCCAGGATCTTTGTCTCCAGCAGATGTGACGTTTATGCTCCTTTTCTGGTTCTCCTGAGTTGACCTTCGCTCGGGTCGGCCTTTTAGTCTAACGCTCATCCCCAAGTCCCCCAGGACTCAGGAGGAAGCAGCAGTCTCTTCCTCTAAAGTAGACAGAGTGTCCCCCTGTCACTTTTAGGTCACCTGTCCCAAATCCTGCAAAAATCTCCCATCTAACGCTCTTTCTTCCTTTACCTGTCCCTTGCCCCTCCCCCGGCTGCCTGACCCTGCCCTTTCTTGGCATGAGCCTGGCTCTCCCGGGGCCCAAAGTCAGGCTGCCCTTTTCCAACAGATACTGTCGATAGCATCGGACAGCATCTCCCAAAGTGCGTTCCAAGGGTCCCGGGAAATGCTCCGTGTTCAGGGGGTTTGCGAAACTCCCCTGGCTGCGTCTCCATCGTGGGGATACACAATGCATGCTAGCACAGTAAGGGTTCTGGAGAGTCCTAGAAAAGCCTACTGTTCGGCTTGGGGGACCCAGCCTTCCCTAGACTTTTATGACCCTGGAAGCCCTTTTTGCACAAAATGCTTGTGAACATCCCACAAATGGCGAAGACAGGTGCAGCCATCTGACACGGGCTTGGAGAGCGCATTGCCCAGCTAAGCACAGAGATTTGGGCTATAGCGCATGCACTGGCTCTTTCTTTCCAGACATCCTAGGCCCAGTTCCCTGCTCTCCTTCACCAAGCGCCCAGCCTTGCTTTTGCCCTTGGCTACCTCTCTATATATCAGGCCCTGATAACTAATATCAAACACCTGGGGCTTTCTGGCGGGCCCAGAGTTCGAGCCTGAGCATGAAGTTCCAAATGAAAAGTTGAGAGTTGATTTAAGCAGTGCCAAATAATTATGAGACACGATTAAAATGTTTGTGGATTGAATGAATGAGTGAACAAATGAAATTGCTGAATGAATAAGGGAAAAAGCTAATGACATCATTTGAGTTTATTTCCACGTGTAGGTGGAGGCCATGATGCTCTTCGTTCAGATGGTGTATGTGTATGTGCAAAAGCCTCTCCTGGTCCAAGAGAGGGCTTGCCCTGGAAATCTCTCTGCATGGACGCACTGCTGTGGCATGTTTTAGCAGGTGCCCTGTTCTCTCCAACGCCCTCCCTCCCTCTGTGCTTTCCATTTTCCTGCTCACGTCTGGGAGAAAGCCTTGGTGGGACCTGTGGTCATTGAATGTGCCTTTGCGTGTCCTAAGTACTTCTCTGGCAATAGGCACGCTGTGCTCATAACAGCAGGTGCTGGAGGGTCCCAGAGAGCAAGTCCCAAATCCTGCAACCAGTGGCTTTCCTGTTAAGGCTGGCCATCCCCACTTCTACAGGCGATGGAACTGAGGTCCAGCCACGGTCGCTGAGTTGCCTGAGGATGTGCACTGGCAGAATCGGGATGCAAACCTCTGGCTGCTCCACTTGCAGAGTTAGGCCTGGTTCCAACCCCAGGTGCCAGCAGAATTACGGGGAGGTTTTTAACACTGTTGATGCCCAGACCCACTTCGAGGGAGTAGCAGGGAAAGGGCATCACTGTGGCGCCCTGGCAACCTTGTGCACATCCACATGGGCCACGCAGGCAGAGGTTTGAGGCCCAGCTCGTCTGAGTCTAGGCAGGACAAAATGTGCTGGTCCAGAAACAAGGGGATTGGAGCCTGGGAGGGGCTGCTATGAGGCCGTCCCACGTCCCCTGTTGCAGTTCACCCGGCCCCTTTCGTCTCCGTGTTGTCCCCTCTGGTGTGTGGGACAGGGCTCTCGGGGAGATGGCTTGCTGTCACTCTCTGAAATGAACTGACTACCAGTGGCTCATCCTATCAGTCAGGTCTTGACCTTGTCGCACGTGTGCGCTTGACAAGAATCTGACTCTGTGGTAGAGAGGAGGCCCGGAATGTTTTGGTTTTGATTGTAGTTTTTACTTTTTACTTTGAAACAATTATAGATTCACAGAAAGTTGCAAAATAATGCACAGAAGATCCTGTGTACCCTTCATCCAGTCTCCCCCAGTGATGGCGTCCTGCATACCTACAGTACATATCGAGACCGAGATGTTGACATGGGTACCATCCACCGAACTTCCGATTTCACCGGTTTTCCATGCACTTGTGTGCCAGTTTATCCCTCGTGTAGAGCTGTGTGACTGCCACAATCAAGATACAGAGCTGTCGTATGGCTACAAGGCTCCTTCGTGCTGCCCCTTCACATCCTCACCCACCACCCCCATTCCTGCCCCCTGGCAACCGCCAACCTGCTCTCTGTCTCTATAATTTGGATATTTCAAGAATGGTCTATGAATGGAGTCAGACAGTCTATAACCTTCTGAGACTGGCTTCTTTTACTCAGTATAATTCCCTTGCGTTCCCTCCAAGTGGCTGCACATAGCGACAATTCATTGTGTTTGTCACTGAGGAGTGTCCCACAGTCTGCAGTTACCATGGTTCGCGTAACCTCTCACCCCTTAAAGGACGTCTGAGCTGTTTCCGGTCGTTGGCTATTATGAAGAAAGCTGCTAGGAGCATGCATGTACAGGTTTTTGTGTGTCTTCATTTCTCTGGGATAAATGCCCAAAACAGCAATTGCTGGGTCGGATGGTGGCTGCATGTTCAGTTCTATCAGAAATAACAGCCAGACTCTTCCAGAGGGGCTGTCTGGCATTGCTTTTTACTCTCACCTGACTCTACTGTGCAGCTGGGACTGAGAACTGCTGCTCTGCAAGCCAAACTGAGGCATTCCTGGAAGCCGTGGGAACCTCAGCTAATGGAGTTGAGGTCTTCTACTCCATTTTTTCAAGGATGATTCCTGGGAAATCTTTCCCAATTGTTCCCCAGGGACCAAAGTGGGCTGTTTCCTCCACCTTCCTAATTACTTACGGGCAGTCCTCTCAGACAGGAGCTCAAGAAAATGTGAGTGTCCACACTGGCATCTGCACAGGTCTCAGTCAGTGGAAGGAAACTGGCTTCAGTTCGGCTGGTTGGGGAGTCCGGCTGAGCTCTGCAGCCAGGGGCAGTTGCCCCTCTACCCTGTCCCTCTCTCGGGGGCTAAGAGTTTGCCTAGAGAATGGAGGTCACTCTTGTCACAGCTGAGCCTCCTGGCACCCTGAGCCCCACCTGGAGCTCCTGCAGAGAATCAAAGTCAAGACAGTTTATCTCCCAAGGAGTGGTCCCCTGGGGTGTTCTGGAAGAAATCTACATGTCTGTCCTAGCCCTGGGGAGCAGACAGGGCAGTGTTTGCACTAGAATGAGGCAGAGCTTCCTTGCACTCATTTCCTGGAAGGCAAGTGTGGAAACAAGGAGCGACTGAGTCACAGACTCCGAGCTGCTTCTAGATTCCTCTCCAGATAGAGCTCTTGGCCCTGCAACGCACCTGCCCTTCAGCCAGTCATTTGGCACCTGTCACGTGTGTGGCCTTTGTCCAGGGGTCAGGTGCCCTGTCCCAAGGACAGCACACACGCAGCTCGAAGGCTGCATCCACCCAGCAGAGAAACATCTGGGGACCACGTCCCAGCGTCTTGTTCTCCTCACCTCACAAAGCCCCAAACTTCCCCTCACAAACTCTCCCCACAAACCCCATCACTACCCCGTTCCCATGCCAACTCCCTTGACTCTTTCAGAGAGTTCTCCAGTCCCAGCCTCCCCACTCCCCACTCCCCAAGCCTGGGGCTAGCCAAAGGCCAAACGAAAAAAAAAGGGAAACCAAAGCAAACAAAAGAATTCCCCTGACCCCCCAATAAACACACACACAAAGAGCAGGCTTGTGGGAAGAGGAAGCTCCCACCAGCGTCGACCCCGCGGGGGGGCCAGGGCTCCCCTCATTGTTCTCCCTCCCCAGGCTGTGATGACAATCCCAGCCCCGCACAGGTTGCAGCCCCCCTGCCCGGCAGCCAGCACCCCTCCTCTTTTCCCACCTTGGGCCCCCTGAGAAAGACGCCTTGAAGCAGATGTCATGGGCCCAAGAGTGGTTCCCACAGGAGGAGGAAGTAAGATCTCACAAAAGGCTGGGCTTTTCCCTGAGGAAGTAGCGGTGGCTTTTCAGTGACAGACTCCTGCAAGGATGAGGGACAGGGCAGGCCGGGGACCCAGGGGACCAGGCCCAGGAGAGGAGCCGGCTCTTGGAGGAAAGGAGGGCATTGTGAGCCCTTGTTTACGGCCCTGGCGGAGGCCGTGACCTTGCTGCTTGTCAACAGCCCTCCCTCCCCTCCTCTCCCCAAAACCTTCACGCATTGTTGTGGAGTCAGCCCATTCATAATTTTATTTGGGGGCGGCTGTTTTTCGGCCTCGAGCCCCTCCCCCAACTGGCTCACTTTCAGCATTGTAACCCGGATAAAAAGGCAAGATATCCTTCCGCTTTCCCGGAGCCAGCTTCCTATCCTGGCCTTGTTGGCTTCCAACTCTGTTAACCCTTAGAAGAGCAGGAGGGCGGGGCTCTCCTCCAACAACAGGCCACACAGCGGCCGAGACCCTTGCCCCATCTCCCCCGTATTTGTTGGGCACAGAAACACAGGGTCCCAGGAAGGGCTTGGGAGAGAAGCAGTTTGGGATCACAGACTTAGACTCTGAAATGTCATTGTGCTGGGACATGGGGATGGGTTATAGGGCAAGAGGATGGAGTGTTAGGGGCTAGAGCTGTCCTGAAAAAGGACTGACATCTCACCAGCCACAGGTCTGGCCCAAGGAGAGCGCACACAGTTTCAAAGGAACCCTGAGGAACCAGGGAGAGTGCAGGAGGGGGCTGCAAGCTGACGAAAGGCCTGGAAGTCGAAAGCAGGGCAGTTAAGTGGATTTAGAGGGCCAGCCTGGAGAAGGCCAGGGGGCCTGATGGGGGTTCCCTGGTCTGTCGGGGGCCGTCACGGAGAAGAGGGGAAGGTTTACTCGGAGGAGCCTAAAGGGCAGGACTTGGAGCAGGGTGGAAGCTACTGGAGGCCTATTTCACATCACTAAAGGTTGCTCCCTGATGTTGAAGGCAGGCTGTGCAGCCCTGGGAAAGCAGTGAACTCCATCACTAGAAGAAGAGCCTGGGCACGGGGGAAGCAGAAAGTGCCCAGGTGCCACTGAGGCCAGGCATCACAAGAACGGGGAGCTGAGGCTCACCTTGCGACCGACTCGGGGCACACAGGGAGCCTAGGGCAGAGCCGGGACCAGAACCCAGGGCTCTGGGCTGCAGGAGCAATGCTCTCCCACACGCATGTTCCAGCGGGGGCTGGCTGCCCCTGCTGGGGTGCAAGCCTGCAGACAAAAGGCAGTCCCGAGGGAGCTTAAGGCTCCCTCCATACCAAGATCTACAGCTTCGAGGACTCTTCGGCTTCCCCTTCCCGCTATGCATGCTTTTCCTTCCCGACAGCCTGCATATCTGATCCATTTCTTCCCTGACCTGGTCCCTCACACCTCACACCTTCCTCTCCTCACATCCCTGGTTCCAGCTCAAGAAGTTCACCGTCTGCGTGTGGCTCCCAGCCAGCTCGTTCCTCTCTCTGGAATCACCTCCCTTTCCTAGTTTGCCACATCCCACCTGCCACCCCCATCCCCTAAGCCTCGTGTGGCCCCCTATCTACCTTTTTTACAGCTTACTTGCCCCCAACGAACGTACCCTGCTGGGTCCTGAAGGCTCTGAGGGGTTCTTGCCTCTGCCCTCTGCTGCAGTCACAGCCCCTCTTTGCCATGTGTTGTTTGTCGCCACAGAGGTATCATATTCCAGGTGTTTCTGAGCAGTTTCTGACATGTTGTTCTCTATTCCACAGTTGGAGTGGAAGTTTTCGAGAGACAGAGCCTCACCCTGCTCACGCCTTCGGGGGCTACGGCAGGACACAGGGAAGATGGTGGCCTGCCCTCACAGAGCCCACAGGTCAGTGCATCCTTCATGTTCCCACAGCAGCCAGCTCAGCGCTGAGCACACCCCCGACAGCCGTTTCCTCGCATGGTGGGCTGTACGTCCTGAGCTGTCCACACACTGGGGGGCAAATTAATCTGCTCAGGCTGCCATAACAGAGCACTACAAACAGGGACCTTAAACAACAGAGATTTATTTTCTTGAGTTCTGGAGACTGGAAGCCCAAGATCAAGGTGTCAGCAGGGTTGGTTTCCCTGGAGGCCTCTCTCCTTGGCTTGTAGATGGCCATCTCCTCCCTGTGTCCTCATGTGGTCTTCCCTCTGTGTGTGTCTGTGTCCTAATCTCCTCTCCTTATAGGGACACCAGTCCTATTGGATCAGGGCCAGCCCACATGACCTCACTTTACTTCACCTCTTTGAGGCCCCGTCTCCAAATGCAGTCACATTCTGAGGTCCTGGGGGTTAGGCCTTCAATATACGAATTTTAGGGGAACATAATTCAGCCTGTAATAGGGGTATTTGGGGTACTCTTTCTCTAAAATCATCTCCGGGAACTCATTGATTCTGCAAGTGGTCAAGTGGTCGGAGAAATACAGCAATAAATGGAAAGGAAGGACAGCAGGACCTGAAACTGAAGAATGGGGTGAGGGCTGACGTCTGGAGAGCCCTGGAAGCTCCATTGAGGACGCATGTCCCTCCACCTCAGCCATCTCCTCAGTGTATAACTCGTTGGCAATTTGGGTGGCCTGAAGCCCACCCATGGCCATCCAGGGACTTTGGTTAGGGTCTCAGTCAGGTCTGGGTACAAGGGTAATAATTTCTGTGACAGTGACAGAAATGGGCTGAATGGAGGTCCAGTTTTGAGAGATGTGCAGTACACTGGAAAAAGTGACTTATCTGGGGGTAGGGAGGGATGTATGGGGTTGGGATATTTAGGGATTAATGATGCCCAGAAAGGCTGCTAATCCTGACCCAGAGAGGCCACACAAAGGGTAGGGTAAGCAAAAAGCCTTCTTCTGGATGCCAAGACTCCTGATGGGGAGCTGGCCTCTACCCCCGAACTCCCTTACTGTGTGTGTGCATATGTGTATATACATAATGCGTGTTTATGTCTGCGTACTTATGCATGTGTTTGCATGTATGTGTATATGTGCATGTGCATGCATGTGTACATGTTTGTGCCTGTGTGTGCATGTGTGTGCACATGTGTTATGTGCCTTCATGCACTGCAAGTGGCCCAGTGCCCTGGACAAGATGAGAAAAGGACTTGGGCCCAGCTAGAGCGAGGAGGCTGCAATCTGGGACACACTGTTCTTTTCCAGTGAGTGGCCACAGCCAACCAAGCACCCACTTTTACCCTGGAACAGGTCGGGGCACCTGCTGCTCCCCACAGTCCACTTCTTTTTCAAAGGTTTCCTTTCGGCTCATTGTTGATCTGTTTGCTTTTCTCCAGGAAGCCCCTGATTTATAGTGACAGGACCATCAGGATTCGAGGGCGTGAGTATCTTCTGTCCAGGATGGACGCGAGGGGTCCTGGGAAGCCCTACACACAGCTTGCTGCTCTGGAGCTCAAGGACACACTCTTGCGAATTCCTTCGTGTGATTCTTACAATGGCACTCATAAAAGGAGTGCAAAATTGTCCCCATTTTGCAGCTTGGCTGGGGAAATGCTGATGCTGGGCCTTGGCAGCCAGAGGGACCAGGGCTGGGATCCTGGCTCAGCCACTTAGCAATGTATGACTTAGGGCAAAGTTGACCTCTATGAGCCGCAATTGTCTGAGATATAAAATGGGGATATTAATACCTGCTGGAAAACTTTTGTGGTGGTTGATGAGATAGAGGATGTGAGCATGAAGCACAGGTATATAGATATGGCAGCCCCTCCCATCCTCCTTCCTTCTTCAAAGATGGCACATGGCTGGTTCAGGATCTCGGAGAGCAAGACTGGGCCTTAGACTCAGGAGCACATTGTCTCCGTCCATCCTCTGCCTGTCTCTAGAAATCTCATTGCTCGCCTGTCCCACCTCGAGGCTGCCTCTTATCAGACCCTCCGAAGTCTGGACTAAGATGAAATTAGAGTGACCAGCATGTTTTCTCTCCTACTTTCTACTTCCAGTGGCCCCCAAACTGGCAGAATCCCAGATGGGAAGTAAGAAGGTGGAGACAGGGTAACCTGGGCCCTTCTCAGAACCCAAGGTGGGCTGAGGGTCCTCCAACCTCACAGAGCTTCACTTCTCCAGGGATCTGCCAAACAGCAGCTCAGAGGCCAGGAATGGCCCTGCTTCTCCCCCTCTCTCTGCCCATGTATGTCACCCCTCATGAATTCACTCAGGCATTTACTCATCGCTTACTGATCCCCTACCTGGATAAGCAACAAGGCCCTAGCACATGGCAGAGAACAAGCCCCACACCCTCCCTTTTCTCCCAGAGTTGACAGTCCATGCCCCGACCCCCTATCCCCCATGTAGGAGGAACTGAGTAAGTGAGATGAAAAAGGCGAAGAACAGCAAGAAGGGCTGAGTTCCCACAAGCTGCCCTGGGTGAACCCAGTAGCCCTGCATAGCATTCCTAAAGCGCTTCTCCAATCCTGGACTCAGAATCAGAAAGCAACTGAGACAAGATCTAGACCCAACTCCCACCCAAGGCAGGGCCCCTCTCCTGCCAGGAGAAGATAGGAGAGAACTTGTCCATGGCATGCCCCAGGAGTCATTGAAACCCAGAAGAGAAAGCCATGACTTTCCCTTGGCAAATCCATTTCCCATGTTTGGAGCAGGGGTATGACAAAGATTCTCCCCTCAACCAACTTTAGACTGGCTTCTCTGAGCCCTCTTTTGACCAGGCCTCATCTTTGGACTTCTGTGTCTATCCTTTCAGAGTCCAGTTTTAGCAAGAGTCCTGCTAAGTCGCTTCAGAGAGAATCCTCCACCCTCGGTATCCAGTTACTACCAATATCTGATTGGGTTCCTCATCCTCCACCCTCGCCCAGGTGATGCCTGATCGCCCTGGCCTGCTGTCTGCAAGAATACTCTTGGGTCATTTTAGCCAGAATCTGCATACCTTTAGTGTCTCCTCTTAGTAATTTCCATCCACTGACCACCCCCCTCCCTGCTCCTGGCTATAAATTCTCACTCATCCTTGTCGTATTCAGAGTTGAGCCCCATCTCTCTCCCCTATCGCGACAGTCTTGACACCTATCAGCATAGTCCCGAATAAAGTCCTCCCTACTGTTTTAACAAATGTCAGAATAAGTGTTCCTTTAGCTGGTAATATTAAAAGAAAGCAAACACAAATATCTTCTCTGTCAGTGTGGCTTTGTTGAATGCAGGTGTTTGCATATAAGTTTTATGAGCCTTGTAGCTGGCCAACTTTTGGGGAATAATCACGAGGATTGTGAACAACACACAGAGTCGTGGACAGGTGGAATATCCAGGCTGCTGGATTCTCTTTCAGAGAGAAGAATCTAAAACGCATGGACAGAAGTCTCCGCAGCTACAGCCATCTCTCGGGTGGCAGACTGCAGCCACCACTCTGTGAGTGGCTACCAAAGTTGGAGACTTTTTTGTTCAGGATCTGACTGACTGAAGCCTGAGCTCACAGCCACCCTCACTCTCTGACCAATCTCCTGTTTTCCTGGGGTGCTGGCCAAGGGGCTTTGTGGAATCCTTGATATCTGGAGCTCTGGTGGGCTCCTGAATGGGGATGAACAACCCCATGTGTTGGACTGGTCTTGCCGTCTCCAAACAGAGACTCCACTCCATGGGCCACATGCAAGAGGAAGCTTTGAGTCTTCAGGGTGCGCTCTTTGTATTCACAGCACTTGGGAACTAAAGAGAGACCCCGGGTGTCTAGCTCACTCCCTCATTTGACAGTTGGGGACCAAACCGTTGGGTTAAATCACTCACCCAATGCCAACCAGTGAATGTGTGAGCCAAGCCAGGATTAGAATCTAGAACTGGAGCTAAGGGGAGCTCCCTTTCCAATGAGTGGGATCCCACATGATTGTCCTCGAAGGGACTCAGAAATGGATTTCATAGCTATTCTTCACCTTCGCAGTTGGGAGAAAACCACCCTCTAAAGTTTTCTTTGTGGGAGGAGGAAAAAATAAGAACCTGTAATTCAGCAGGGAATACAATTTTAAAAATAAGCCTCCCGGCCATTGCGTTTAGTGCCCGCCCCATGGGGATCCTCGGCCCATAACTCAGGAGCACAATGGCTTTTCTTGTTATGAATGAGTGTGAAGTGCCAGCAGAGGAAATAGGAAGCCCCCAATGTAGTCTGAATGGACCTGTGAACAGGGATAATAAAAGTTGTCCTGGATTTCCGGTACCACCAGGTGTTTCCGCCGGGACTGCTATTCATTCAGGCTTGGGGATGGCCACGGGTGCCAGATCCTCCCTGGCCCCGACCCCAGCCCCTTGCTCGACTCCCTTGACCCCACCGCATCCACTAGAGGCCACTTGGGCCTGGACTCCTGGGACTGTGTGATGGGCATGTTCTCACCCCTGGGGCCCCAACTCTGTGGAATTAGTTCTAGAGTAAAGGAGCGGGAAGGGGGTGGGAGAGGGGAGGGGGTCACCAGAGTACAGCCCCCTCACCCAGTTAGATAAGGGAAGCTCATGAAAGGGAACCCAGGTACTCAGAGGGACAGGTGGTCATGAGCTATGGGTGACAGAGACCCAGTGAGGGACTCGGGCCAGGAGCCAGGAGATCCCCAGCAGCAGGGAGGATTGGGGTTAGAAGATGAGAAGGAGCCCCATCTGTGAGGGAGGGCTGAGATGTGTGCACACAAGACGCGTGTTGAAGCCTGGAGGATGTCCCCGGAGTCTGCCGTTAACTTGCCTGTGACCTCGAGCATGACACTCCTTCACCGAGCCTGTCCCTTAGCTCCCAAACAAGAAAGTTGGAACACACTGCCCATCTACTGTTCCCTTCTGTGACCTGAAATGAGATTGTGAGACCGGGATGCTTCTAACCAAGAGGGAAAACGAGGCTCTGCTCTCAGATGCCCACGCGAACCAGGCAGGAGCAACAACGAGTGAGCTTGGCCTTGTATAAGAAACAGGACCGTGCGGGACAGGAGCCCAGCTGCCCTGTCCGTGCATTCCACCACTCTGCCAGCCTCAGAACACACACCTGCCCACTGCCGGCTGAGGAACTCCACCAGGGCAGCCTTCCTGGCACCAGGTGCTGAGGCAGTCCCTGGGACAGCGAGGCTGCACTCTGACCCTTTTAATGGAGCAGATTCATAGATTCATAGATCTGCCATGACAGCAAGGGCGGGGCTTTGTTGTTCTCAAATGGGGGGGGATTTATTCTCTGGAGGTAGAAAATAAATCATAAATGGCTTGGCTCCTTACCCAGTAGATGGTTTACAACACACACCAGCTGGATGGGCAAGAGATCTTGGACCGGCTGTGGCCCTCACCCTGCTCAGGGAATCAGTCGGTCCTCCCCCATCACAAGTAGGAAGGCCCACCTCCTCCAGAAAGCCTGTCATTCTAACCTACCACTTCTAGCCTTTCTTAGTTCCATCTGCAGGACAGGTCTGGGAGCCAAGCAATGAATACGCACTAAGAACCTCCTGGGAGGAGGGCAGTCCTCTGCTTGCCATTGTTTGGAGAGCAAGTCCTGACTTTGGACAGTCCAGGTGTCTGACTGATATCTTTATTAGTTTCCTAAGGCCTTTGGTAATTAGCAGTTAGAGTTACGCATCCCAACATTCAAGATAATGCATATCTTCAGTTCCCCCAGGCGACAACGATAATGATGCTAATGGTAATGGTGATGTTGATGGTACATAGATAAACAGCTTCAGAGTGAATACAGAGTTATAGAGTGTCCATAGCCTATCTTTTGTTTTGGGTTAGAACCTACATGATGTAAGAAGCGTGTATATTATTGTACAGGTACGAGCACTAAGGCTCGTAGAAGCATGTGGGTCTATGTGCATCAGAGGTCTCATAGCTAGTGAGTGGCAGGGACAATCTTTTGTACCCTCAACCAGGAGAGTCAGGTCTGCAAAGCACTATCCACCACAGCAACATCACCCAGAAAATGCTAAGCGGAGTGAGTATTGTCCACACTGGGGAAAACTGTTGGTTTCTGAAACAGCCCAGGACCGGATAACTTTAGTTTTACTTACAACAAACATGGGGACCCTGGTCCTCCTCCAGCTTCTTGGGAAGCTAAGTGGGCCCAGGGCGTCTGCTAGACGTTGAAGGATAACACCTTCCTTTCCCCATCCTTCCATCTGCACATGCCTGCTAGGACCACCAGGCACAAAGCAGATGAGAGACATGGTAGGAAAAAGAGTGCCAAGCTAGGGGCCAAAAATCTGCATCACATTACAAAGCGGCCACTTACTAGCCGTGTGGTCCTGGGCGACCATCTTCCCCTCTGGCCTTCAGTTTCCTCATCTGTAAAATGAGAGAATTAGATTAGATACTCTCTTGTATTTCTTCCAGTTTTATTGAGTGTTCCACAGTGGCTCCAGTGCCCTTTGGGGACCTCTTGCACCTTCCAGAAGTCCACCCAGTGGAGGCTGCTAAGATGCCATTCCCTCACCTAAAAGAAGAGAAAACAGCAGGAAGCAGATGCTGCTCTAGGTGGAGGTTTGTCCGTCTGCTCTAGCCATCCAAATCCCAGCCCCCTTCAGGCACAGACTCTGGAGGGAAACAGCAAATGCAGCAGCCATGGCCTGCCCAAACCCCCAACCCCGAACCCCGCCAAATCCCCACTGGCCCCAGCTCTCCCTCTTGACCCCAGGACGCTACCTCCCCCACCGTTTCTACTGCCAAACCATATCACTTGCAGTTTTGCAACTTCCAAGCTGAGCTCAGACTCTCACTTTCCAGAAAGCTCCACAGGCACAAATCAGGGCAGCCCAGCCCTCCACTCCTCTCCGCTCCCTTAGCCTAGAACTTAACACACTTCGAGAATGGCTATGTTGGCGTGGATTTCTTTCTGATCCTCATGCTTTTTGGAAGGGAGCAGGTTGGGAGGCAGGGCAAACTGGTGGGTTGGGGTCACCATGGGTTCATGGAGATATTGTAGTTTTGCTCCTGGGTTTCTGACTTGGTTTGCAATTGCTGCCAGGCCTGCGAGGTGGCTGAACCAGCAACAACACAGCGATCCCCAGGGCTGAAAAGTCAGACATGCAATCCCCTTGGAAGGAGGACAAGAACATGATCTCCAGCAAGACCACTGCTTTCACACCTTTGGGGCAGGGGGAAGGAGTAGACAGAAGAGATGCGGTGTCTTAGGCAGTTTGGGCTGCTATAACAAAGTACCATAGACCTGGTGGCTTAAACAACCAAGTTTATTTCTCCCAGTCCTGGGGGCTGGGAAGTCCAAGATCCTGTGCCGGCAGATCCTGTGTCTGGTGAGGGCCCACCTCCTGGTTTGTGGACGGCCGTCTTCCTGTTGTGTCCTCACGTGGAGGGGAGCAGAGAGAGAGGAAGCAAGCTCTCTTTTTGTCTCTTCTTATAAGAGCACTAATCCCATTGATGGAACCTCCACCCTCAAGACCTAATCATATCCCAAAGGCCGCACCTCCTAATACCATCCCATTGAGGGGTTAGGATTTCAACATATGAATTTGGGGCACAAAGAGGCAAATAAGTCATTACAATGGTACAGCTGAGAAAGAGTTCTGGCCTGGCTCCCACCAGGGCAGAGGACAGAGTCGGTAGCGACAGACTCACACCATTCTCTCTCCCTTTCTCTCTACTCTGTTCATATTCTCCTTAAGAGTTATCAAGTTATCACCGCTTGAAAGGATCCTGTTTGTTATTCCTTCACAGTTTCACTTTCTGCTGCTTCTCACTAGAAAGAAAGCTCCATGAGAGCAGGCCCTCTCTTGCCGTGTCTGCCTCTGTATCCCCAGAGCCTAGAAGGGTACCAGTTGGCACTCAATAAATGATTTGGTGAACAAAGAAATAAACCCTTGTTATCATTATCCTTAAGTTATAGTTAAAGGAAATAGAGGCTCAGAGAGGTTAAGTTACTAGCCCATGACACACAGCCAGTAACAGAGGCAAGACCTCATCCCCGGTCTTGGGACCCCTAGTCAATTAACCATCTCATGCATCATGTTACTTGTTTCATTGTCCCTGAAAACAGTGACAAGCCCAAGTCAGATGCCTTCTCCTCCTGGAAGCTTTCTCAGCTTTCCTGAGCCCAAAAGAGACAAGAAGGTCACCCCACACTTGGGGCTTGGTATATACCACTGACGCCCTGCGTTTTAGTTAGGTGTTCACCATCTTGTTTTCTTCTCCACTTTGGAGTCCAG